TTAATTAGTTGAATTAGATGTGCCGTTTCTTGGCGTAAAAAAAAAAAAGATTGTGTTTCTCTCAAGATGCTCTTTGCTACCCATGAGCTCAGTGCTAATTCAGTGGTATGAGTTGGAGGAGGATTTTAATGAACTAGGGTTGGATGCTTACATCAGTCGGCTAAATTAGGATGTTTTTTTAGGGTTAGCTAATATCAGTGGGAAAACTAGTGCCGCAAATCTGGCAGAATAAAGCAGATCAAACCTGATTTGTTTAAGCTGGTTGGAAAGACAGTTTACCATAGCGGTTTTTATTCTTTATTCAATACAACCAAAGGTGGTCTGGGATGTTTACATTGGTCTCAACAACTAATAGTTATGTCAATTAATCATTTAAGCTAATTGGACCAGCTACTAGCAATAAGCTGTATATAAAATTTTTGTGAGTGTGTTTATGCGCTAAAACCATGAACAAATTGTGGCAAGTCTCTGCCCTAAAGAGTGATTATTGGAATAATTTTTTTAGATCAGGGGTCACCAATCTCGGTCCTGGAGGGCCGGTGTCCCTGCAGGGTTTAGCTCCAACTTGCCTCAAAACACCTGCCTGGATGTTTCAACTATACCAAGTAAGACCTTAATTAGCTAGTTCAGGTGTGTTTGATTAGGGTTGGAGCTAAAATCTGCAGGACACCGGCCCTCCATGAACAAGTTTGGTGACCACTGATTTAGATGATTGTTTAAAACAGATGATCACTTTTAAAAAAGCATGTGATTTTTTAGCTAGTGGTACAATGGATCATGGTTGATCCATAATTCGTATGGATCACAACCCACGGTTCGGAACACATGTGATCCGTGTATTAATAATGTTTTTTTATTTTGTTTGTAGATTAATCCTAAATTTGTAAGAGAGACCGCCTCTCACATAATTCAAATCACATGTTTGAAAGCATTAGGGTTTCCTGTAAAAATATAATGATGACGGAAGAAGTTGTGGTGGATTATTAGGGATGTGGTGGGTTTCTTAGGTTATTAAAGGTGTTTTCTGTCACTGTTTGTTTAGCCTGCATTAATGCATTCAGTGTAAGCTGCACAGTTAATCATTAAAAGATCGGGATCTCAACACCCACACAACATAAATTATAAATGATGGTGATTTGCATATGTTTATTAAACCTTTGAATTGCTGCATTGAAATTTATAGTTTAGATAAAACCACTGATGTTTATGGTAAAGACTAAAATCACCATCATATGCATTTAACTTGATGCTCAAAAATGAAAGTTGTAGGCAACAATTACATTATTTAACCAATAGTGACAACAACCAGCCATAAAAAATATGCCACTAAATAATTCTTCAGAAATGACACATCTAGCAATGAAACATGACACTTTATGAGTGAATCACTGAATCATTTATTGAAAATGAAACTAAAAATAAATAAGATTAGATTTCTACATTTAGCATTATCAGTAACAGTAGCAGTAACAGTGCATTTTTCACAGAACTGAATATTTTACAATTTATTTTTATTCAGCTGATTATTTTTTCATTTTATCTTTAATAAAATTACAGGGTCTAAGTTCTGTTTGTTAAACCAAACGTTTATTGCAGTAGTCAACTATTTCTGTAATCAATGGAAAGCAAATTACATTTGTCTCCACCCCTTTTTGGCTGATCCGAAAAAAAAGTCAGATCCATGACTAGTGATGCAAGGATTATAGTTTTAGGTTGTACGATTATAGACTGAGAAATAATCACGGTTTCACGGTTATTATGCATTCATTGAATTTAAAACTACTAGTTTCTACTACTACTAGTTCCTAATATTTTAAAGTGTTATTTATTGCTGCTCAGTAACCAAATATTACTGTAAACCACAAAATAATAATAATGAACAAACAATAGTCCATTTCTCTTTGGACTTAAAAATAAGTGAAAAAAAGTTTCTGACATTTAAACAAGTAATAATTTTAAACTGAAAATAAATTTAAAAAAATGAATAAATAAATACATGAATAAATAAATAAATAAATATTAAATTAAATAAACAAACAAATAAATAACAAATAAACAAATAAATAAATAATAAACAAACAAACAACTAAATAAACAATAAACAAACAAACAAACAAACAAACTGTATTTGCCTGATGTAAATCTATTTTAAGTATTTTTTCGTGTAAATGTAAGTATTTTTCTTTTAAAGAGAACAAATGTAGTCAAAGACTGCTGGATGTCTGTCTAAAAGTCCCTTTAGATCAACCATATTATAAAAATGTGGTATTATTTTGTACTTTTTTCCTTTTTGGATGCGAGTAGAAATGTGTATAAAAAGTGCGAGTGTGTTGCAGCTCGCACGTCACTCCCAATATGCGAGCACGAGCCATGCGCCTCCATTGGAAGCGAATTTGCATGTGCAAAAGATGCAAAATGTGAACGACCCTTAGTTATTAGCATCAGCCATAGTTAAACCTTGTGTGTGTGTGTGTGTTAACCTCGATGTACAAGCTCAGAACCTTACACTAGCGATCACTAGTCTTGCCTCCATCTTTAAAAGTCTCATTAGCCGTCTTGACAACACAAACACGGCTGTCACCTCAACCAAAACCCCGCCTCTGCTTTCATTTGGTTGGACATTGATAAAAGGGGAGAGGTGACATCATTGGAGGGGAGAGGTGTCCAACCTACAGCATCTAAACACTGGGGTACCTCAAGGCTCTGTTCTTGGGCCACTTCTCTTCTCCATCTACACATCATCTCTAGGACCAGTCATCCAGAGACATGGATTCTCCTACCACTGCTATGCTGATGATACCCAGCTATACCTCTCTTTTCATCCTGATGATCCCTCGGTTCCAGCTCGTATCTCAGCCTGCCTGTTGGATATTTCACACTGGATGAAAGATCATCATCTTCAGCTGAACCTCGCAAAAACGGAAATGCTTGTAGTTTCTGCCAACCCGACTCTACACTATAACTTTTCAATCCAGATGGATGGGGCAACCATTACTGCATCCAAAATGGTGAAAAGCCTTGGAGTAACGATTGATGACCAACTAAACTTCTCTGACCACATTTCTAGAACTGCTCGATCGTGCAGATTCGCACTCTATAACATCAGAAAGATCCGACCCTTCTTATCTGAACATGCAGCTCAACTCCTTGTTCAAGCTCTTGTTCTCTCCAAACTGGATTACTGCAACTCTCTACTAGCTGGGCTTCCAGCTAACTCTATCAAGCCTCTTCAACTGCTCCAGAATGCAGCAGCACGAGTTGTCTTCAATGAACCTAAACGAGCACATGTCACTCCGCTGCTAGTCCGTTTGCACTGGCTGCCAGTTGCTGCTCGCATCAAATTCAAAACTCTGATGTTTGCCTACAAAGTGACTTCTGGCCTAGCACCTTCTTATCTGCACTCACTTCTGCAGATCTATGTGCCCTCCAGAAACTTGCTTTCTGTGAATGAACGTCGCCTCGTGGTTCCATCCCAAAGAGGGAAAAAATCACTTTCGCGAACGCTCACGCTCAATCTGCCCAGTTGGTGGAATGAACTCCCTAACTGCATCAGAACAGCAGAGTCACTCGCTATTTTCAAGAAACGACTAAAAACTCAACTATTTAGTCTCCACTTCACTTCCTAATCTGCAATTGCCTATTTGAATATCACACTAACTGTACAAAAAAAAAAAAAAAAAACTACTAACACTTCCCTTCTTAGACTTTACAGACCTGAAACTTGCCTTTAGTACTTATTCATTGTTGCTCTTAGTTGTGTAAATTGCTTCCTTGTCCTCATTTGTAAGTCGCTTTGGATAAAAGCGTCTGCTAAATGACTAAATGTAAATGTAAATGTAAAAGATGCAATGTAAATCCTTTTTGATTACTTGGATTTCTGCATAAATTGGACAGAACATGTGTTCTGATCTTCCTCAAAATCACAACAAAAGAAAAACAGTCTTGATCATAGGTCTTCTGAGCTCTTTTGTGCTTGGGATGGTTCACATCAGGCGATGCTTCTTGAGAACAGCAAAGTCAAAGCTGGTGTGTGTGTGTTTAATAGGGCAGGGCAGGGCAGGGCAGGGCAGGTAGGAGACTTTTATTATGTGTATTGCAAATGAGTGAACAACATCTTCCAGATGCAAACACAAACATAATATTAACATCTTTCAAATTGTATGAAATCACATTGAAATTACCAAAAACTCATTAACATGTTTTTGCTTTTTTATTAATTCATTACACAGTTAATGATTTTGGACACTCAAGATGCAGTTTTGTTTATTAATCTGCATAAAAATGAAGAGCATAATCAACATTTTTGAGTAACTGATTCTGAAATTAGAACCGCAAATCAGAAAAAGTTGTGACAGTATGGAAAACGCAAATAAAAGAGGAAAGTATTGATTTCTAAATTTACTTTGACCTGTGTTTTATTGCAGACAATAAAAAAAAACATTTTTTGATATGTTTCTCATGATTTTTATTGTTTTTATTTTTTTGATAAACATTCCAATTTTGGTTCTTGTAACACATCTCGAAAATAGTTGGAACAGTAAAGCATTTACCACTTTGTAATGTTGCCATTCATTTTTCTAACACTTAAAATAAGTTTATTGACTTTGAAGCGATGAAGTGTTTCACGTGTAATTTTGACCTATTCTTCCTGCAAACAAGTGTTAAGGTGGGCAACAGTATGGGGTCTTCGTTGCTGCATTTTGCACTTCACAATACTCAACACATTCTCTATTGGAAACAGGTCGGGACTGCAGGCAGGCCAGTCAAGTACCTGTATCCTCTTCCTCCACAGCCAGGACGCCACAGGCAGAATGCAGTTTTGCATTGTCTTGTTGAAACACGCATGAGTGTCCATAGAAATTGTATTGGGTTCTAATAAAATTGTGTTGAACAGAGGAGCTCTTCACATCAAACATGCTGAGAACTGCTACCATTTTTGTTTTTGCTGTACCTTCCGTCATGGCACTGATGTCTCTTGTTTTCCGCATTTGTCTCCGCAGTGATGCCAACCTCACAGATGTGCTGTGCGACTCAGACTCTGAGCTGGGCAGCGTGGACACTCTGGAGAGAGGAAGCACAGATACTCTCGCCAACGGCTGCCGCGTGGATGCAGACGCTGCCAAAAGACTGGCCAAGAGACTCTTCTACCTGGAGGGCTTCAAGCGCTGTGACGTGGCACGACACCTGGGCAAGAAGTAAGTGTCTGAGAGGGAATGAGAGTACTCTGTGGAAGTGGAATCAATCGATCAAACAATACCCACAATCTATTATATCATATTATATTATATTATATTATATTATATTATATTATATTATATTATATTATATTATATTATATTATATTATTTCATTTTTTCGGCTTAGTCCCTTTATTAATCTGGGGTCGCCACAGCGGAATGAACCACCAACTTATCCAACTTAATGCCTATAGTGCATGTCTTTTGGACTAGGAATCCCATGCGAACACGTGGAGAACATAAAAACTTCACACAGAAATGCCAACTGACCCAGCCGAGGCTCGAACCAGCAACCTTCTAGTTGTAAGGCGATTGTGCTACCCACTGCGCCACCGCATCATTAAATTATATTATATTATATTATATTATATTATATTATATTATATTATATTATATTATATTATATTATATTATATTATATTATATTATATTATTTATTAATTTTCCTTCGATTTAGTCCCTTTCTTCATCAGGGGTTGCCACAGTGGAATGAACCGCTAACTTATCCAGCATACACGGAAAACCGTAGGCAAGTTTCATTAATTAGGCAAGTCACTGGACATTTTATTTTCAGCCAAGATAAAAGAAATAATACTTTCTCCTGAAGAAAAATATATTCGGAGAGACTGTGAAGTATGTTCTTGCTTTCTTAAACACCACTTATATTTGAAAAAGAATAACAATTTCACAAAAAGGCTAATTATGGTCGTATACTTATAATCAGTTTTGTGAAAAAAATAATATGTAGTGATTAAATAACACAATTAGGAATGAGCTGTATATGTTCAATAAACAGTTGAATGTATTTCTGTATTTACGTGATGATGGTAATAATTACTATGATAAGAATGAGCACAGTTCTTTGACATGAACAAATGTTCTACTACAGCATTTTCTAAAACTATTACAGTGTTAGAGAGTGATTGACCATATTTTGTGGGAGTGGAATCAATTTTTTTAAACTATGAGTTTGTGTTTCTTGGACAATGATGTGTTGAATATATCATATATGAATGTTCAAGCAATTCCCCCAATCCGTCTGTTCTCTTTCTGTGTTTGTCCTGCAGTAATGAATTCAGCCAGTTGGTGGCGTCAGAGTACCTGAGCTTTTTTGACTTCACGGGATTGTCGTTAGACAGAGCGCTCAGGTGAGAACATTTCAGACACAAAACATGAGGTCTTTCGTTTGACTTGGCTGACTTGGCTTAGTGAAGATTATTTTGCATTTCTTTTGGAAAACAGGCTACCTAATTTTGTAAAAAAAAAAAAAAAAAAAATCACAAAGTGGATATATTTGATGTTTATAATAGTGTGTGTTTAAAAGGAAAATGGTTTCAGTGGTATTATATCAAATAATTAAATAAATGCAACATATATAAACACAAACAGTCTCCGATATGTTACAAATTACAGATAAACTACACACAGCATACATTTAGTCCTTATTTGGGTTCAAAAACAACATGCAACATACTGTATAGCCCCCAGTCAGAGCAAACCTCTCATCTGTGTAATCTTCAGCAGCACATGTAAACTCTTCTTAGAAAGTAATTCCATCATTCTGAGTACATATTAGTCCAAAAGGCGATGATAATAGTTAAACATGGCAGTTTGGTCATGTTTTAATTTGCAGAAAGCATCATTTGCTGCTGTTTTTTACGGCTTCTCCTTTGTAAAAGTTCCTTTTCCTGAATCAATTTTATATCAGAAGCCCTTAAATAATCACGCGCATGTTATTAATATGAGCTTAAGAAGTTTGTTATTTCAAATATAGACACGCAGTGAACTCACTGGAAAAAGGGATACCGCTCACACTTTTAGACACCCTTGTAAAACAACATCAGGACATGGCAGATTTTGTTCTTCTTGACTTTATGGCTGTTCATCAAGACAACGACAAAGTTTGTTTGAGCTCGGGTCAACCATGGCTTGTTATCATGTATTATAATGGTGTAATGTCTTGGCTGTGTTTTTTAAAGTTGCTTTGATTTGATTCTCCTGCTTCTGCGAGTGACATATCTCTGTAAACCAATAGCGTTCAGCTGCGCTATTAGCTCCGCCTTTTGGTACCCTTTTATCATGCTCGTTACCCTTTTGAAAGGGTGACTAAAAAGTGGTACGGTACAGATCGCATTTAGGTTACCCTTTGACAGTGAAAACGGCCATTAAAGCGTACCGAATTAAACCGTACTGTACCACTCAGTGGAAATGGGCCATTGATTATCCTAATTATATATATATATATATATATATATATATATATATATATATATATATATATATATATATATATATATATATATATATATATATATAAAAACCTGATAATGTAAATAGCAAAAATTGCATTTTCATACCAAACCTAATTAGGGCAAGAGTTTGATATCTAAGAGATGATTTAGCCTAAGATGAAAGTGTGAAAATGTGATGTTATTTTACTTATTACCAGGGCATCTCTTAAGATGTAATGCAGAGTTCAGACTGCATGATTTTCAAAGTAGTCGTGTCACAGATGTTTATACACTGCATGACTATCTGGGTTAGCGTTTTGTCGCTGCTTTGTTTACACTGCAAGACGGATCGGGGACTGGGGCTTTCACATTGCATGACTTTACTATAGGAAGAATCGCCGATAACTTCGTCCAAACTACGTCTCACAGCCAAAAACATGTAGTATATCTTTTGTTATTAACTACATAATAAGAAAGAAGCCTTTAATGGGGAAGAAAATGTACATATTTGCTCACCTGGGTTTGAAGGGAATTTGCGTCAAACTGTCAAAAAAAAAAAACGTCAAACAGACACGGGTGCTTCTGTCAAACCTCCACTAGTTTTTCCTCCATTTCTTGGGTCCAAATAAACCGAAAATGAGCATTTTTAACTTCTCCCTCAACCTCCCGCTGGCCTGCAGGTAAACACACACAAGTGGATGCTGCTTTCTCTTTGGCTGAAGGCGATCGCTGATGTTATTTTCAATCAAAACCCATTTCACAGGGCATGATTTGAATCGCCAACAGCTCCATATATTTAGCATGCTAAATATCTCAGAGGCAACGGCGACTCATCAGCGATTCTCTCAGATCGCGTCTTTGATAGTTCATACTGTGTGATTGTCACTTACGTGCACGAGCAGCGATTTGCCTGTGATTTCAGGCATTTGTCGGTGATTTCGCTAAACCTGTCGGCGAGTCAAAATTGGGGCTAAAATCATGAACTCAGTCTGAACTCAGAAATAAGTTGCTCTTGATTAGGGTCTAATGAAGTAAAGGGATCAGTGTGCAGGAAACAGAATCTTATAAAAAAATATTACCTTAAAATGTGCTGTATGTAAGTGTTTTTTTTACTATTCTAATACCATTTGTTTGCAGACATTTGAAAAACATGCTATGTTAACACTTGTTTATTTGGAAAAACGATGTTAAAACAGTATAAAACTGCATAAACAGTGTATTTCATTTAATTTACGAAGGCTGGCCAATCTGGCAACCTGCTTTATAAGAAAGAGAGAACAGTAAATTAACATAAATTACCTTTATACAATTAAAGATGAAGTTTTTAAATAGTGCACATATAAAGTTCCTTCATTGTTTCCTTGTATTATTTCTGCGGTTATGCTAAAATAAGGGGAAGAAGCTTATTTTAGATTAATGCTCATGTCTCATGTCTTTCGGTTCCACAAATACTTCCTAAATATGGGGAAAGATTAAGCTTGCTATCTCACCATGTCTTAAATACCTGCGCTGCAAAAAGAAGAGGAACTCTGTGCAGCTACACAATGTGGAGAAGAATATTTCAGTCCTGAGCTAACAATAGTTTTCTGAAGAGAATGAAATGGTAATTATCACAGACGGTCAGAGAGAGAGAGAGAGAGAGAGAGAGAGAGAAAGAGAGAGAGAGCTCTGATTCAGTCTAGACTCAAGTTACTGGCCTGAAACCAAGGCTGAGCAAGTAGGCTACGTAAACTAGGGCTGCACTAATCAAGGTATGCAGTTTCACACAAATAAATGATTCATGTTTAAATGGGAAAAATAAATAAATTACGGCTATAAATGTTGTGTTATTTATATATAGTATTTTTATCGGCTGTGTTAAATTATTATTTTGGTCTTTTTTGTAGTTTATGTAATGTATCATAATAATAATTATTATTATTAATTATCATTATTACTAGTACTAAAAATTATAATAATATTGGTGATACTATTAGTAGTATTTAATGTTTTACAGATGACAAAATTGTGCATTTCTTACAAAAAAATTACAACAAACTTGGAAATTAAATTGCATTTTGCTCTTTTTTTGTTATACATTTATAAAAAGAAATGTGAAAAAGTCTTGACTTTTATTAGCATTTTAGTAGTTTAGATACTATAAAGTGTACAAAATAATATACAGAAAAATAAGTGTGAAATAACAGAAAGTATACTGGAAGTTTGTCAGTAACAGTAATTTTTTAACTTTTCAAGCTTAAAAGTTGTTGGAAGAAAGTTTGAGGTCCCATAATGCAAGTCAAAAGCATAAATAAAGCATCAAAAATATAACTTGACTAATTTTTGGCATGTTTGTCTCACTTTAATGTTTCAGATCAGATTCAGATTTGAATAGTCAAAGATTACGCAACACATCATGCAGTTTTAAAATGAATTTTTTTTTTATCATTAAAAAAATAAATCAAGATACAAAACTACATAGCCATGTGTGGAAAAAGTGTTTGCCCCCTTAACTCAATAACAGATCGGGCCACCCTTAGCAGCAACAACTGCAATCAAGTGTTTTCAAGGTCACACTTTACAATAAGGTTCATTAGTTAATGTTAATTAATGCATTTACTAACATGAACAAACAATAAACAATACATTTACTACAGTATTTGTTCATGTTAGTTAACGTTAGTTAATGAAAATACAGTAGTTCATTGTTAGTTCATGTTAACTCATGGTGCATTTACTAATGTTAACAAGCATGGACTTGGATGTAAATAATGCATTAGTAAATGTTCAATTATGATTAATAAATGCTGTACATGTGTTGTTCATGATTAGTTCATGTTAATAAATGCATTAACTAATGAACCTTATTGTAAAGTGTTACCGTTTTCGAAAACTTCTAATGAGTCTGTTTCAGCGATGTGAAGGAATTTTAGCTCACTTATCTTTGCAGAGTTGTACTTCAGCCGCTTTGGAGGATTTTCAAGCATGAACTGCCTTTTCAAGTGCAGGCAACAGCTACTCAATTAGATTTAGGTCAGGACTTTTACTAGGCCACTCCAAAGTCTATATTTTGTTTTTCTTCAGCCAATAAGAAGTGGACTTGCTGATGTGCTCTGGATTATATTCAGTATATATTTTAAAAGCTCTAACGTGAAGACAGATATGTCTAACTTCTTATTGGCTGTAGACATGCTAGGTCAATTTCAGTTTACATTTGAATGTCTTCATAACATGGCAGAAAAAAATCTCTTTGGTGTCCATGAAGGTAAACAAGTACATCTAGTGAATAATGGGAATCTAGTTATGGTGTATATTTGCAATTATTAGTACTATCTCTGTGTTTTTATTATGGCAGCATGATAATTTTGATATTCTGTTTGCAGGAACTTCCTGAAGGCGTTTCCTCTGATGGGAGAGACGCAGGAGAGAGAGCGTGTGCTTGTGCATTTCTCCAAACGCTTCTGCCACTGCAACCCAGAGACTCTCACCTCAGAGGGCAAGTTATCATTTATAACATTATACTGAAAAGTTCCAGTGAACTTTTGTGCAATGCTTTGACACACATGAGCTAGGTTACATGTACAAACTCCTACAAACACTTAGTAAGTTGTGTATAACTGACATTGGAAACATTGGGGACAATTTCTATGATGGCATCTGAAATTAAATTGTTTTCCGGTATAAATATCTAAACAAATATCTAAACATTTTTACCACTTCCTACTTGAAAAGCAAATAACATCAAATATTTTATCTTGGTTTCTGTAAATGTATTAAATTAAGTGAGATAAAACACCTGCCAATTAAAACCTTAAATTAAATGGAAAACATTGTTAATGGTTATTAAAATTTTCACAGAAAGGTTAATAATTTTGACTAATACACAATTTCGTATAAACTATTTTTTTATTTATTTATTTTGACAGATGGTGCTCACACACTGACCTGCGCACTTATGCTTCTCAACACAGACCTGCACGGACATGTATGTATTCTCTAAACTTTTGCATCTGAACAATACCTGAAATTAACATTATTTGATTCATCATCAAAGTGCTGTAGCTAAAAATGTAGGCACAGAAAGAGGAAATGATAGATAGAATGTGATTGTGGATTGTGTAGTGAAATATGGCAGTAATTGGAAATACTATTGGCTGTTCTTTGATCAAATTAGCAGAAACCCATTTTAGATTGATCTTGAAACAGACCTTCAGTTCTGACACAACGTTCGATTCAACTTATAGATTCAATTCAACACAGCGATCACTGCATATTGGCCCTGTTCATATCTGGTATTAAACTGCATTTTTGTCAGATCACAAGGAAATGACACTAGATACTGATGTAAACGGAGTCTAAATCGCTTTAAGTTTGACCACTTTTAACCACTTTATTAAAAACGATTGGATTTATTTTATTTAAAAAAAGCATATAAATATATTATATATTGTATTTATTTATACAACAGTTCTGTCTGGTTCTCGAATCTGATTGGCTGATAGCCGTGATATATTTAAGTAATATCAACACCCGTAAAGCCTCTTTGCCCTTTGTGTATTACTCCGCCCACATACAACCAGCAAAAAGCGGACACTACAGATCTAAAGTTTAAAAGATGCTTGCTCAACTGTTTAACTGTCAGCTTATGATTTGAATCCAAGGCGAAAGAAAGTAGTTCTTTAACAAAAGGGTTTTTGAGACTCTCCATGTTTGATTTTGTTTTATATACACGATTATGCCGTCAAACTGAACACGAGTAGCAGTGCGATATGGCTGTATATCGGCACTGGTGGGGGGACTAAGGCAAAACGCACGCCTCCCACCATTGCTGATATACAGCCATATCGCACTGCTACTCGTGTGATATTGCTCATATATATATATTAGTGGTTTTATTAATTACTTACATTATAAATTACTTTAATTAATTACTTTATTAATGCCAGAAAGATAAATATCTACTGTTTTTATCCATAATAATAATATCACTTAAGTGTCTAAATAACAGTGCATCTGGAAAGTATTCATAGCGCTTCACTTTTTCCACATTTTTTTTGTGTTACAGCCTTATTCCATAATGGATTAAATCAATTTATTTCCTCAAAGCTCTGCACACTTTACCCCATAGTGACGATGTGAAAAAAAAAGAAAAATCAAATGTACTTTGTTGGCTTTAATTGCACCTTTGCCAGCAGTTACAGCCTCAAGTCTTTTTAAACATGATGCCACAAAATTGGCACACCTGTCATTGGGAATTTTTGCAGTACCTCTTAAGCTCTATCTGGTTGGATGAGAAGTGATGATGTACAGCCATTTTCAGATCTCTCCAAAGATGTTAAATAGGATTTAGGTCTGGGCTCTGGCTGGGCCACTCAGTGACATTCGCGGAGTTGTTGTGAGACCACTCCATTGATATTTTGGAGATGTGTTTTGGGTCATTGTCCTGCTGGAAGATGAACCGTCTGAACCGAGGTCGAGAGCACTCTGAAGCAGGTTTTTATTCAGGATGTCTCTGTACACTGCTGCATTCATCTTTCCCTTGATCCTGTCTAGTCTTCCAGTTCCTGCTGCTGAAAAATATCCCCACAGCATGATGCTGCCACCACCATGCTTTACTGTAGGGATGGTATTAGCCTGATGATGAGCGCTGCCTGGTTTTCTCCAAACGTAATGCCTGGCTTTTACTCCAAAGAGTTCAATTTTAGTCTCATCATACCAGAGAATTTTGTTTCTTATGGTCTGAGAGTCCATCAGATGCCTTTTGGCAAATTCAAGGTGGGAGTAGCTTCTGTCTGGCTAATCTACCATACAGGCCTGATTGATAGATTGCTGCACAGATGGTTGTCCTTCTGCAAGGTTCTCCTCTATCTACAGAAGAACGCTGGAGCTCAGACAGAGTGACCATCCGGTTATTGATCACCTCCCTGACTAAGCCCCTTCTCCCCTAATCACTCAGCTTAGATGGCCGGCCAGATCTAGGAAGAGTCCTGGTGGTTCCAAACATCTTCCATTTACGAAAGATGGAGGCTACTGTGCTCATTAAAACTTTCAGAGCAGCAGAAATGTTTCTGTAACCTTCCCCAGCCTTGTGCCACAAGACAATCCTGTCTCGGAGGTCTACAGACAATTCCTTTGTCTTCATGCTTGGTTTGTGCGTTGACTGTCAACCCTGGGACCTTATATAGACAGGTGTATGCCTTTATTAAATCATGTCCAATCAACTGAATTGACCACAGGTGAACTCCAGTTAAGCTGCTGAAACATCTCAAGAATGATCAGTGGAAACAGAATGTACCTGAGCTCAATTTAGAGCTTCACAGCAAAGGGTGTCAATACTTCTGTACATGTGGGGCTTAATTTGTGCCGGAACACGCCGAACCTCTGAAATCTGATCCAGCACCTCATTTCACTGATCCCCCTCCTCAACCGCCCTCCTCCCCCATCCTCTGTTCACTTTCACTTTCTTCTGCTACTCCCCAACCCTCTTCACTTTTATCCACGACAACCATATGGAAAAGTGTGGAAAATGTGAAGCACTATGAAAACTTTCCGGATGCACTACATATTTTCATTGACTGAAAATTAAATTTTTCTTGATAGCCTTGCAGCATTTTATTTCTTGTAGCCTATAAAATCATTAATGGTCTGTGAATCATTGCATTTTATCCAAAGCAGTAGAAACAAAGCATTTTTTGTCACTAAAACAAGACAAAGAATCTAACCGACCTAATTAAAAATGTGTTAAACAATAGTTTACATCCAGACTAAAACTATATTAAAATGCTCACTAGAAATAATAAAAAAATAGGAAGTAGAATAATATATTTTACTTAAATTACTTAATTATACATAATACACATTTAAGTGATTTTTACTGCTTGTGCTGTGCTGTTTTTTACCGTAAAAGTGTTCAGACAATTGAGTACATCATACTTTTTTGTGTACAGTATGTACATTTCACAAGCTCACACATAAAACCACCCATAGACTCTTTGTTATGGGGAAAGTTGTCTAAAGTCGACAAAAAGAGACAGATAAAAAAAAAATGTGGAATCCAATTAACCAAACATACATCTTAATAGGAGGTGAAAAACTAAATAAAGCGGTGACATAGCCAGACTTACCTGTCATTATTCAACAATTTTTATGCATTATACATAAAATTTATGCATTATTTATGCATTATGACATATTATGACCAAAAATAATTTTTCATGATGAATGAGGTATATACACACAGACTTCTAATTTCAGTCAGCCAGCCCCAGGGCTTCTGGTGAATTGTTAACCCTTACAAAATTGCTGCGTTTAAGATCTGATTTCTTTAAAAAAACAGTGATCTGGCTGAAAAACAATATAAAGAAAAGTGGGTATCAGATTAAACATGAAGCACTGCATTAAATTCTATGTTTTCCGCGCCATGGCTTTAAAATATGGAAATTAATTTTAACCCATTTTTTTCAATGGAGTTTTTGTGCTAGCCTGTTGCTAATGACGGCTTCCACATTTAAACAGTCTTTCTCTTTTTATGGTTTAACAGCCAAATGGAGGCTTAAGTGAATTTAAATGAATATATTTGAATTACATTGCAGCATCGATGCGGTAAAAGGAAGCTTAAGATCATTGATCACTGAAAAACACTAGCTGTGCTTGTAGCCCATTGGTGGTAAAGAAAAATATAATGTTGTGTTTGAAGATGAGGATGATGTTATCATTCAGCTAAGTTGTAAATTTCCTTTTCTAACCCTCTGCACTTAACAGTCTCATTTGTTTTTTCCATTAACAAGCCTCTCATTGCTGTGTTTCTGTCTGTAATACAGTTTTTCTGTTAGTAATATTACAATTCTTCTGACGTAAACATCTCTCCTTTTCTTTTGCCTCTGTCTTAACTCACTCTGCGGCAGGTGGTAAGTGCTATCTAACCCCTTTTCTTCTTCTGTGTGTTCTCTTTTAATTGCTCTGTGTTTTCTGAAGGTTTTCACCCATCATCCGTGGAATATTACCCATGCAGAGTAGATCAAAATTTCTGTGCGTGTTGGTTGTGAGGCTCAGTGTTGCTGATGCGATACTGCCATCTGCTGACAAATTTATAAACTGCATGCACAGTAGTAAATAATAGTAATAATAAACTAATTTGTTTGCTGAATTGAAAACAACGTTACAATGATTTCATTCACTTCAGATATATAATCTTTAAATAACCTGCTCAGTTTGGAATGTAGTTTATTTAGTAATTTTATTTTTGTGTTGTTATTTGCATGGTTGTATCTCCATGACTTTTTCTGTGGTGATCAGTGTTGGGTAAGTTACTTCAAAAATGTACTTGATTACTAATTACATCATTAAACTTGTATTTAAGGTATTTTCTAATTACTTTGTCTGAAAAGTAACTTAATTACTAATTAATTAATCTAAATACCTGACCTAATACTACTTAAAATCCATATCTCAATGCATAAATACTCAATAGATGTCTTTTAGTTTGAATCAAACAGAAACATTTAGTTTTTTAATTAACACTTTAAAACTTCAGAATGTTTCAAAATAATGTTATATTTATTATAATTATAAATTATTTATAAAGTTTCATAAATATGTCATATTTTGTCAAATTTCATTGTTTTAGGCATGTGCCATTTTCTGTCAAATCTAGCAAGTTGAACAAAATTGGGTCATTATACAAAATATATGAATGACAAAAAATGTATACATATCTACACAAGTACCTTGCTTTTTTGAATATAAACTTTATATTTGTTTGAACCCTTTTTAATTTTTTCTCAAGCATGTTTAATCATCCTGATAATTGTAACCTTATATGGTTCTATATATTTAATATATTTATATAACAAAAAATATATATGTAATCTGCTTCTCTGACTTGATTTGTTTAAATTTGTTTAAGGTAAGTACATTATAAGTAACTAATTAAATGACCTGAAAATTAAAAATAACCCCTTGCTTTACTTTTTTAGCTGAACTGTATTTTTTACTGTGTAGTTTACACCCAAGACTGGTGGTAATGATGTATATTTACAAAAGCTTGCAATATTTTCACACTATTTGTGTGATTGGTGACCTAAAAGCACAAATGGTGGTTTAAAAAAGAGTGATCTCCAATACTGCAGCTTGTTTGAAAGCTGTATTATTATTTATTAAAAGCATAGTTCACCCATAAATGGAAATGACCTCATCACTTACGCTCCCTCGTGTGGTTTTAAACCTTTTTGAGATTCTTTATTCTGTTAAAAACAAAAGAAGATATTTTGAAAAATGCTGGTTGATGGTAACCATTGAGCTCCATTAAAGGAAACTATGGAAGCCAATGGGTAAAAATGTCTAAAAAGTTTTTTTTTTACTCTTATATAAATAAATATACTAAACAATGCACTTATTATATATTATATATTATTATTTTACATGTATTAATATAAGTGAATAATAAGAATCCATTCCAAATGTAACTGTAACTGGAAACCAATGTAAAGACCCAACTTCTGTGATATGCTACATTTCCTTAGAACTTTCCTTAGAATTAGCAGATGAAAGACATCTCAAAAATATGTTTTATTGTATTATCTGTCATCTGAAACCTGACTCTGATGGCTGAGAATTAAGTTTAGGTCTCCCTGATTTATCTCTCCTTTCTACTTTATACAAAAGAAAATCTGCAGGAGCCATATTTAGTCAAAATAAGATAATCCTGGATCAACATATAATTTCAGAACTTTAGTTACATCCGGAACTTAAAGTGGAAATGCAAAAGTAAATGAATGCTGACACCTCTGCATTAAGACCTGCACTGTGCATCAGTTTGTTTTCGATTAATCTTCATTGCTTTCATAAACGTTGATTTCATTGTCGCAAAGAGAGTGACATGTTTATTCTGGGATAACCACTCTTAAATAATACACTGACATTTCAAGTAAATCAGTCTAAGCTTTTAGTGGGGCACAGACCATTTTTTGCTCGGGCACCAGACTAGCGATGCAGATGAGATATACTGAATGAGCTGTTTGGGATGCTTGAAATAGTCCCACCTGGTGGCCAGATCCTTTCAGAATGTTCAGAAACTTCTAGGGCCAGGAGACACAAATACACAAGAGTGGCTAATTAGACTCGAAAGAATATTTCCGTTCTGGGTTTGTAGTGATTGTCTGAAAAACCGAGATGGGTCTGGCTGCAAACTCTGGCAGTGCAATCTGAGCTGCATCCAATGCTTTTTAGTGGGCTCACCTAACCCCACCCCTAACCCTACCTCTCATAGTGACGTCACTTGTTCCATTTGAGTGCATTGTGTCTAACACTGCATCCCTAAGTGATGCTATCCCAGCTTGCATCTTACAGGCAGCATCCAGATACTATTGGACAAACCTAGGACTAGTTTGCAAACGAAGGTTTCTGCAAAAAATTTCCAAGTCAAGAAGAAAGTTATGACAAAATGAAATCAAGGATAATAATTTTGCTTGGCATGAGAAAAGGATTCCAATAATAGAAGACACTTTTTGCTTGAAGACCTAATAAGTCAAATGGGGAGTTAGACTCACACATAAAGCCTCACAAATTATGTAATTTTAATAAATGTACACTCAAACAATCACATTTGCTGTTTGTTTAAACTATTTACTCAAAATGAGCTGAAGCAACACAATTCTTGAGTTTTTTGGTGGGACAACCTAATTGTTCTATGTCCAGTCCACTTAAATTTGTAAAAATTAATAAGCTAACTTAATTCCTCCATGTTATCCAAGCATAAATCAATTGTGTGGAACTCAAACATTTTTTTACTATGACTTTTCAAAATAAATGTGATGCACTAATGTACTTTACCATTCAGAACATCTTACCTACTTTACAGCAACACCCTGGAAACCACAACTCTCCTGTATTGTGATTTTTGCATGTACAGTTTGAGTCTGTGTGCTGTTATAATTACAGTGGTGTTGTAGACTTTTATTTTTAAAGGTGCAGTATGTAAGTTTGACACCCAGTGGTTGAACTAGGTATTGCACTCCTGGTTCAAAACACACACAAGTGCAAGTTGCCAGATTGACGACACCAAGAGGAGTGTGCCTTACTATCTAGCCTAAAGGCTGAAACAGTGTTGTAAATAAAAGCAATGGCACGTGATAGAAGGAATATTGTCCATATCAAAATTAGTTTTTGTTCTAATTAACACCTGAAATTAATATTTTAGAAACAGCTTCTTTTTCTTGCAGCTGAACATCAGAAAACTGACAATGATCACCTCAGGTACACCATATGTGCTTTAATCAGTGTTAAATGCTAATAATGAGTTTGAACGCCACTTTACATGACATGTATTGCCATAATACTGAAAGCAGCAGCAGATAGTTCATCTCAGATTTTGAAAATAATATTACTTGAAATTAAATCATTTGAAATGTAACTTTAGAACTAAGACTCAGTGCAAGGCAACACATATAAGTGATTAAACATGTACATTAATAATTTTAAAGAGGTATAATATGTATTATATACCTTACCATTTTGCTGGTGCAGTGAGTGCACTATTCTGTGCTTCTGAATGGCTGTATTTAAAATTCTGTCATGTTTTGTCTGGTGCAAACAGCCAAATTTCCTTTCACAGCAAATCTCATCATGTAGCGTGTTGTTAGGGCAATGTGTTAAAATGTAACCTAATGTTTACATGCGTAATATTTATGTAATTTGTTAATTGATAACCACCTCCTGTGGAACTCTGAATCTGTCTCATTTTGGAGTCTGCTACTGTCCACCAGAGGTCGCATTTCGGTCACAGATGCATGTTTGTGAGTCTTCCTGACTGAATAAATGAAATACGCTGTTTTCCACTAAGGCAGCCTGGGGTGCTGAAATGTAATTGGCCAAACTGGCAAACCAGTGCACAGACCCTTGCAATGGACAGGTGATGGGTGGGATGGCGATCACAAAGTGCAGATGGGTGGGGTTGGGGGAATTGGTGATCGCAAAGTGAAGACGGATGGAGGGGGGGCGGGGGGCTGGAGAGTAGGGGGAGTAAGTGAGTAAGTGAAGAGCAGGGGGTGGGAGGGTCACCTCAACCAATGATGGCAGAGGGGCAGTGACTCTAGACTCCGGGCCACCCCACTGTGCACCGCCCTGCAAACTGGTATTGGGGCGGTTAAATGACCAAAACAAAGACAGATGTTCCGGCACATAACGCACATTTTCAAAGCAGAATGTCTGACTTTAGCATTGTTTTCAGATAAACAAGAATGTTTGCATGTTTTTTAGATATCTGCACACATTTTTTGTTGTTTTTATGCTTTAGAAGAGTCAAAAACCTACATACAGCACCTTTAAAGCTCTTTGTGGAATAATATATATTAATCATTGTTGTAATCTGTGTAATTTTAAAACAATTTCAGCTGTTTTACTGACTAAAATGTACTAAAATGCGTTGTTAGGGAATGTATAATGAAAAATAGCATATGATACCCATAGAGAATATAAGCTGTGTTTCTTTCTCCTTTAGTCTTAAAATAAATCTTGTGAAGGGCATGATGGGGATTAAATAGCCCAGCCGTTTTCCTCAGCTGAGATTCACAGTCTTCACGGTTTTAATTATATCACTGCATAATTTAACAATTTAGTTTCAAGACAAACGGCAGACAAAAATGCTTTGCAGGGACACAATTCCTTCACAATGTTTGAAGAGTAATATCCCATTAGTCCGTTGTTTTTGGTCAGTGGTATTATGTTAGTAATTGACATTATGAGCACATCATTAGCATTGTTGTAACACTTTTGTTATGTTATTACATTGCAGAATATCGGGAAGAAGATGTCTTGCCAGCAGTTCATTAGCAATCTAGACGGTCTTGACGACGGCAAAGATTTTCCCAAAGAATTGCTCAAGGTAACACAGCAGACGCATACTCGATTACTAGCTTGTTTTCTATGATCTATTGCCTAGTCAAAAAAAAAAAATACTTTGCTTTTATTTAAGCAAATTCTTCAGAGTAATGAATCTTCATTTCAGTGATAAATATGTTTCTAGCATGTTATGTATTTGTTAACACTTCTTCTATCATTGTCTGAAGCAGTGTGTGGCAGACAATAAATGGCGTGGTCACATTCCAGGATCACAATGTCAAGATTCATCAGGCTCATTGTGTAAGAAGGCTTCATTCCAGCACATATTTGGAAGTAGACTTTACATAGTGGTTCTCCTTGAGGTCGGATAGTGACCATCTTTAGCTTTGATTACAGCAGTGGTTCTCAAACTGTGGTACGTGTACCACTAGTGGTACGCGGGCTTCCTTCTAGTGGTACGCGGAGGAATGAAATATGTCATGTACACGCCACATATATTTCAAAATATATCAAAAATTATGTATATAATATGCCATACATGACATTTAGCCTATATTTCTGAGTTTATCTGCCATGTTTTTTAACTGTGCAGAGTTGTAGCTGCTTTACTGGGCCTACTAAGCTACTGTATTTCAATACCGCTCATTTTGGTGGTACTTGGAGAGACAATTTTTTTTCTGAGGTGGTACTTGATGAATAAAGTTTGAGAACCACTGGATTACAGCATGCATTCGTCATTGGATTATTATAACATGTAATAACAGTTTTTTTTTCTATCATAAGTTCATTTTTGGAGAATGAAAATGAAGCCTTCTTTTCACAATCTTGGCTACGTCATGCTGGAATATGACATGGAATATGTGTGTTGGCATTGTTTGGTAACACTTTTCTTGAATGGGGTGTTTATGAGCAACCTTTGAATGTGAATGAGATTTTATGCATGCTCATGACAACTGTTATTAAGTGTCATTTGCACAGTTATGTCATTTTCAATGCAAAGATCCAAAGATGCAAATTAAATGTATGCACAAACAGGAATATCGCATAAAAATTCTGCGAATAAAGCAAAGTTTCCATACAATGAGTCAAAGAGAACAAAAACGTCACTTTCTGATTAACTGGCACCAAATATCAACAGTAAAAATGTAATTTACTGTGGTGGGAGAATCTGCGTGAATCTTTTTTTTTTTTTTTTTATAAATTACTTGCTCCTCTGTAGACATTGCTGGCATGCAATGAACATGTGGTGGTCTATTTAGGTCTCTCCCAAGATGCTCAATTGGATTTAGGTCAGGGCTCTGGCTGGGCCATTCAAGAACAGTTACGGAGTTGTTGTGAAGCCACTCTTTCGTTATTTTAGCTGTGTGCTTAGTGACATTGCCTTGTTGAAAGGTAAACCTTCAGCCCGGTCTGAGGTCATGAGTACTCTGGAGAAGGTTTTTGTCGAGGAAATCCCTGTATTTGGCATTCATCTTTCTCTCGATTTTGTAATTGTAGTCCTGTCCCTGCAGCTGAAAAACACCCCCAAAGCATGATGCTGCCACCACCATGCCTTGCTGTTGGGACTGTATTGGACAGATGATGAGCAGTGCTTGATTTTCTCCACACATACCTCTTAGAATTAAGACAAAAAGTTCTATCTCGGACTCATCAGACCAGAGAATCTTATTTCTCACCATTTTCAAGTCCTTCAGGTGTTTTTTTATGCAGGCTTTCATGTATCGAGCCACTCTGCCATAAAGCCCAGACTAGTGGGGAGCTGCAGTGATGGTTGACTTTCTATAACTTTCTCTCATCTTCCAATTGCATCTCTTGAGCTCAGCCACAGTGATCTTTGGATTCTTCATTAAACTCTCTCATGAAGGCTCTTCTCCTCCGGTAGCTCAGCTTGTCTGGACAGCCACCTATATCTAGGAAGGTTTCTTGTCATACCAAACATCTTCCATTTAAGGATTATGGAGGCCACTGTGCTCTTAGGAACTTAAAGGGCTGCAGACATTTTTTTGTAACCTTGGCCAGGTCTGTGCCACGATTCTGTCTCTGAGCTCTTCAGGCAGTTGCTTTAAACTCATGATTCTCATTTGCTCTGACATGCATTGTGAGCTGTAAGGTCTTATACTGTAGGCCCAAACCCTAATTCTCCCCCTTAGCCCTTCCCCTTACCCCTACCCCTCGTTTTGCGCATGCCTGTGAATGGGTAGTGGTGTCTCAATTCTTTTAAGCTTGAAGGCGTAGGGCTAAGGGCAAGGGGTATACACCCCTTCAAACGAAGATTTTTCAGGACCACACTTAAAACCAAGGGGTAAGAAAATTTCCCAGAATACACTAGCTCCAGCTGCACCCGGAAGTAAGGAGATCCACAAATTTGTATTTTTTTGTCATTACGAATTTTTACAACAAACAAAGCCATGTTTTAATATATTCATAACCGTGTTCATGTTTTACCGTCATGCTTTTTTTTTTTTTTTCCCAAAAGTGTTTTTATTGAACATATTAGATATGAAACATACATTACAAAATAGCTTTTCAATTTTTTTTTTTTTTTACACAACAAACAAACAAAACCTGCCGCACATACATTTAGGTTCTAGAAAAAAAATAAATAAATTATATTAAGAAAAAATACAAATAAATAGTTATAATAAGTAAAACATATGTTACTCTCATTAATAAGGGGAGAAAAAAGAAAATACAAAAAATTAAAGAGAAAAGAGAAAAAAAAAAAAAAAACAACAACAAACAAACAAACAAACAAGGAAAGGTTCTACTCTTCTAAAATGACTGAGGGGTCCATCTTTTTTACGTGATCTAGAACAGGTTGCCAGGTGAGAAAAAACATATCAGTACAGCCTCCTAAAGTGTATCGTATTTTTTCTAAGGTCAGGTGGTGTAGAAGTTCCATAAGCCATTGCTTAAAGGTTGGAGGAAGTTTTTCCTTCCATTTCAGCAATATTAATCTTCTAGCTAAAAGCGTAGCAAAGGCAATCACATTTATCTTGCTTTTGTTAAAACATAAGGACTTTGGTGTGATTCCAAAAATTGAAATTATGGCCTCAGGTTCTACATAGGTATTTAATGCGTCCGAGAGGAATTTAAATATTAGCTGCCAGAATTTCTTTAATTTTGAACAAGCCCAAAACATATGAGATAAAGTAGCTGGCTCAATGCCACACCGGTCACAGTTAGGGTCTATATTTGGTTTAAATTTGGCTAGTTTCACTTTGGACCAATGTAATCTATGTACTACTTTAAATTGTATAACTCTATGTTTTAAACAAATTGAAGATGAGTGGATATTGTCTAAAACGGATTGCCACATATCTTCTGATAGTTCTATCTCTAGCTCCACCTCCCATTTTCTTTTTAATTTTACTAGGGGTTCCAGATTGTGGGAATTAATTATAGAATATATTTTGCCAATAAGTCCTTTTGAGTATGGGCTTAGCTCCATAATAGAGTCAAGCAGGGAGGGGGGAGGCAGTGAGGGATAGTGACTCATTGAGGAGGACACAAAACTTCGCAGCTGGAGGTATCTAAAGAAGTGGGAATTTGGAATTTGAAACTTAACTTTTACTTGTTGGAATGAAGCAAATTGCCCATCAATAAACATATCTTTTAATATCTTAAGACCTTTCATAGACCAGATGTCAAAAGTTTTGTCTATAGTAGAGGGGGTGAACATATGATTTCTTGCTATGGGGGCATAGGCTGATAGTCCTTTAAGTGCAAAACTTCTTCTAAATTGTGCCCATATTTTGAGTGAGTGTTTGACAACTGGGTTTAAAGAGTATTTAGATAAAGGTTCAGGTGTCGGAAAATTTGAGCATAGCAGAGCATGGAGTGAGGTTGAACAATTTGTGTTTTCTAAAGATAACCAATTAGGGCCACTGTCATATGATGGATTTGACCAATGTAGCATTGCTCGAATATTAGCTGCCCAGTAATACTGCTGAATGTTGGGTAATGACAATCCTCCATGGTCTCGGTGTCGTTGTAAAATATTTTTACGGATACGTGCATTTTTTCCATTCCATATAAAAGATGATATTAATTTATCTAAAAGTAAGAAAAATGATTTTGTTAAGAATACGGGTATGCACTGAAAAAGATATAAACATCTGGGTAATATATTCATTTTTATAGTGTTTATTCTACCTCCCAGTGACAATGGTAACGGATTCCAACGTTCAAGGTCTTTTTTTATGGAATCTATCAGTGGAGGGAAATTAACTTTGTACAAATGTTTGTATTTATTAGTGATCCATATACCTAAATATTTGAATTTGTCTTTAGTTATTTTAAATGGTAGTGAGGTAAAAATAATCTTTCTACCAGCATTATTAATGGGCATAAGCTCACTTTTTTGCATATTTATTTTATAACCTGATATTTTCCCAAAGGCAGTCAGTAATGTCATAATTTGTGGTAGAGTTGTTAGTGGTTCAGATATATATAGGAGGGTGTCATCTGCATAGAGAGAAATTTTATGTTCAAAGTTGTCCCTCTGTATACCCTTGATATTGATATCATTTCGTATCGCAATGGACAGAGGTTCAATTACCAATGCAAATAATAAAGGGGACAGAGGGCAGCCTTGTCTGGTTCCCCTTTCTAACGAAAAGAAAGGAGAAATGTGACAATTTGTACGTATTGCTGCCATAGGTGATGAGTATAAGATTTTAATCCATGAAATGAACTTTGTGCCAAATCCAAATTTTTTAAGAGTGTAAAAGAGGTAGTCCCACTCCACCCGATCAAAAGCCTTCTCAGCATCAAGTGAGAGAAGGACTTCCGGGACATCAGATGGAGTGGGATGGTGGAGGATATTTAGAAGTCTGCGTATATTATAGAATGAATATCGGTTTTTAATAAAGCCTGTCTGGTCACCAGAAACTATTGTAGGTAGCACTATTTCCAGCCGATGCGCTAATATTTTGGCGAATATCTTACTGTCAACATTCAGCAATGAAATTGGTCGATAAGAGCTGCATTCTGATGGATTTTTATCTTTTTTATAGATTAGAGAAATAATTGCTTGATTCA